CTTATCCCGGTTTCTGTAGCATTAAGCGACAAGGAGTATTTCTACTGACCCCAAGACAGGATGCTAGTCCATCACGGGGTTACCCTCAAGCATTTAATTCGCCGGTACCCACTTATACACCTGGGTGTTGTGTTCTTGCCCAAGAACACAACGCAATGTCCCGGGCCAAGGCTCGAACCCGGACCGCTCGATCCGGAAGTGAGCGCGCTTACCATGAGGCTACCGCGCTTCAGACATTGGAGTGTTACGTCAAGAAAGATAGTCCTGTTGCAGATTTCATTTCTCAGCTTAGGCTAGAAAACTTTCCGGTGTATTCCGTTGACGTGAAATATACCTAATTATTAAAACTAATATTGAAATGAAAATACGGCTAGCTGTTATGTGGAGTATCGAACTCAAAGGAGTAGAGGAAATTGCTGTTTCTTGTAATACTCATACAGGAAACTCGATCGCTTCATCCTCTGCTGCTACGCCAGGAAATCAATAGAAGGAGTGGACTGTGAGTCTCCAGTCGATGAATTCTCAAGCTGCGACGATCTCATGAAAAACGAAACTCTCCAGATTTGTATTTGGATTCTTGGAATCCTCGCCTTCCTTGGTAACCTTCTTGTCATAATATGGCGGATCATTGATAAGGAAGAGAACAAGGTGCATTCCTTTTTGCTGACAAATTTGGCAGTCGCCGACATGCTTATGGGAGTGTATCTTTTGACAATCGCCATTATGGACGTCAGATGGCAAGGGGAATACTTTAAGCATGACGAAGAATGGAGATCTGGACTGGGTTGCCAAATTGTCGGAGTTCTTTCGATGCTCTCTAGTGAAGTATCCGTTCTGATTCTAACCATCATCACGATGGACAGATTTCTTTGTATCGTCTTTCCTTTCAAGTTCAAGCGCCTCACTTACAAAGCTACCGTTTACGCATGCGTAGGGGTGTGGATATTCGGTGTCGTCATATCTACAATTCCAATCGCAGGGTTAAACTACTTTTACGACGACAGCGGTAATTTTGGATTCTACAGCCGCTCTGCCGTTTGCCTTCCTCTTCAGCTGTCCGAAGGGAGACAGGCCGGGTGGGAATATTCTGTCGCCTTTTTCGTCGGATTGAACTTCGTCTCTTTCATGTTTATCCTCGTCGCCTACATTACAATGTTCTGGACGGTAAAGCGCGTTTCCCGCGCTGTGCGATCAACAAATTTAAGCAAAGAATCCGCCATGGCCAAGCGGCTTGTCTTCATTGTGATGACAGACTTTTGCTGTTGGATGCCAATAATTATAATCAACATATTATCTCTCACTGGACATTTTGACGATCCAGACAAAATTGCCTATGTGTGGATAGCAGTCTTTGTTCTTCCACTTAACTCGTCCCTCAATCCAATTCTGTACACATTTTCCACCGAAAGGGCAAAGCGAAGCTTGTGTCGGAAGAGAAAAAACGTCACTGGGTTTGTTATGAAGACGGTAAACGGCCGAGGGGCAGGTAGGTTGAACCAGTTCTTCAAAGAGTACGCGTAAAAAAGTGAAAGCTGTATTTATTTCATGTAATGGATATAACTAAATAGCTCCTTTGTTAATGCTTTGTTGTTTATAACTAAGCAAGTTTATTGTTTTACCGGTTAGTCATAATTTTTCACATTTCACAAGCAGTAAAAGGAAAACGTATGTCCTTGTTAGCAAGTTCGAGTATTCTACACTGAACTGCTAACAAATGAGTTGGTGACAATATGGTCCATTCATTAGACTTGCAGTTATTCCTCCGAGCAACGGATCGGGGCAAGCTCACAATCTTGACTAGCATAGATTTTTGCGATCTCTGTTTCCTCCTTGGTTTTAATTCTGATTGAGAAGATATATCAAACACTCAAGACAGTGTTTAACCACATTTCCAAACACTTCGACGTTCTCTCCTCTGTGTATGGAAATGTGCTCAAACACGGTCTTTCGTGTTACTTTGATATATTACTTGAAGGGTCAGAGTGTCGCAGCATTGTTGACCGCAGGAAAGAGAGGAATAAATTGTCACGGTACAACAACATCGGTGGAAAGAAAGTCCACCACACTAGATTGTTTGAGGGAATTTCGTTTAAGGAGAGACAATTGCTTGTCAGTTCTATCTTAATTAGAGGTCTTTGTTAACAATTTTAAAGGACTTTTGCTTTTCTTTATCCCTTTGAATTAAGCTGAAAATCAGTCCGTTGATTGGCTGAAAGCCCATGGCGACAACACTTGCGTATCCAACGTCAGCTCCAGTCCTTTGCAATTACATAAAGTAGCGGGAACACAGGAACAAGGGAGCAAACAGGCACATGCCGAGCTGAGGCTGATTGAAGAAGTTAACATTCTGAAAGACGACACCGCAGGAAGGCGTGCAACAGTAAGTGATAAGTAATAAGTAAGTAATGATTTATTTAACGTCGTGACACAGGGAGTGTTTGGCCATTCTCGCGAGCAGCTGCTCATGATATAACAGCTCGATACAAAAAAACAAATTAAAAGAGAAAACTTCTTAGGTGCCTGAGGGAACATTATTCGCGGGAATTAAGACTTGCAAAATAGTAGGACTTGGAAAACAACACAGTTATACTACACTGCAACACAAATTCAGCATGAAGCGGAGGAATTATATAAAGAAATAGATAATTCAATCAATCAATCAATAAATAAATGTTAAACATTAAAATGAATATTGAGATAAATCCATTGAGAACTTTCAAAGCCATTGTCTTACTCGTTGTTTCAGGGTTATGCTACAGCTTGGTGTGAAGAAGGGAACATTTTAAGTATGGTGTTACTGAAATACTTTGACAAAGAATTGAAAGAGGAATGGCATCGAGAGGCTAACATAGTACAGGGCCTGTCTTGTGATGAAGAGCCGCATGCCAATCTACTTCATTATCGCTGGCACTCGAAAGGCAAGCAACCGTCTAGCAAAAAAAAAAAAATACTTAGCTACTCTTTACGTACAAAAATTTTAACTGTGATTATCCTGACGAGCCCATGCCCCTACAAGGTGCCTGATGGTGGAAAAGCTTTGCATCTTTTAAAGGCAAACCATAATTTGTTTGCCACAAAGCTCTTTCGACCCCAACGGCGCCATTTACAGAGCCACGGGGGAGGCGAAGGGAGTTTATGCAGTCTAGAATCTTTATGATTAATGTTCTGATAAATCTCCTAGAGGATATCCGTTTAGGTTTAATCATCATTTGTTGTTCTCTAGCTTGCGACCAAAGTCTTGAACAGGGAAAACAGAAGATTCGTGCTTTACAACCAAACAGTTTGTATGTAATTTTGTTTGTGTGTTATTCAGTCTGTATGTTGTTTAGTTTATATGTTTCTTATTTAGTTTGAAAATATTTCTTGAGCAGGGTGTTAGTTAAGTGTAGTGAAGCGCTTCTCGTTTCATCGTTCGACTGTCAGAAGCAGACGGCAAAATTTGATTGGGCGTTGTGAATCGGGTGTACTTAACTCGACAATAAACAGAACAGCAGAAAATTTCACGGTTAAGAATTATTGTGCTGAGAATCTCTTGTGTGACATGTTAGTGGTAGTTTACAAACAGCTGGGAAACAACAGGAAAGTGCACGTAATACAAGTGCAAACGGTGTTTCTCAATTAAATGCAGCCAGCTACAAAGTGTTAATTGTACTTGGACAACGACGTGAACGCGTACCAATTTTGTGACAAATAAGCGCGCGGAGAACCAGCATCAGAAGCAAGAATTTGTTACCGATATGATTTGGGCACAAGCAGACGGTGACGTTTAAACTCAATACACTCGACTAACTGATTTGTTCGCTATATTTTGATTTTGTTTTGTTGTTGTTGTTTTTTTTTCCTTCAAGTCTGATTTGCTACGATTTTGTGTCGAGTTCCACATTGGAAGATTTTCTTTGTGAGAAAGGAACTGTTCTTAACTTCGATACAGTGTGCGCTATAGCCTGTGACGTCATCAGCGCTGTAGAACGACTACAGGATCTTGGAATACTTCATAACAACATTACAACAAGCAACGTTTTGATTGGCCAATGCCCGAGAGTAAGTAATCTGATATATTTCTGCATGTTATGTTTATTTCTCCATTTTTGGTGAATATAAATATTTTAAATTTATCCTAGCAACATGAAAATGATTATTGTAGGAGATATTTGGGTGCGAAATTTTGAAGCAAAGCATCCTTTAATTTCTTTGCTTTTTGAACAAAAGAAGTGCTATACCATTCCGTGACAAATAGAAAAATTCACGATCACTTCCAGGTAAATATAACTAAATACATGTAAAGCAGTCCCTGGGAGGACTCCCAAGCAAAAAAATTAGGGATGCTCGTCACCTCCTTTCGTGGTGTACGTAAATCATGGATTATGGTCTCACTTAAGATGCTCACGACCACTTACTACAATTTTTAGCCGTCAAGGCATCCTTTAGGGCTGCACTTGAAGACGTTATTAAAGAACACTGGCTGTCGGTAATAAAGTAGTATCTCGTACAGATCAAATAAAGTTAGAGTTACGCCTAAATACAAGCATCCCCGACCTTTTCACATGGGAGTCTCTTCCCCGAGAAAGACAGCTAAGCGTACAGGTAGACGTCAGCTAACTTTAACTTAACTTGGAATCCAAAGTGAGACTAAAATGAGAATCTTTGGCTTTTAGCCCATATTACTGTTACTGCCTGTTGAATTCGTTCGTCACGAAATACACAAATTTGACCGCCTCAAAAAATGGCATAATTTTGGTTCAACAGGCAGGCATGCATTTAAAAGCATAAAAAAGCACTTTCCATCAAGGGCCTAGCAGAAATAACCCACCTGTCAAGTAGCAAATATTTGATTTATATTTCTTGTTGCATTTTATTGGTATTTTTCTAAGCACAACCTTTCCTCACTCGAACATTACCGTTTCTTTAGCTTCTCCCTATAACAGCTGTTTTGGGTGGTTTTTCTCGAGCGTCCAAGGTGAATGAAGCCGGTGCCTATAGCAACTGGGCGGTCGATGAACAGAGTAACTATGGCAACGATATTGAGCAATTCGGACATTTGCTGGCTACCTTATTAGGAAACTGCCACGGCTCCAGTGAATACATTAAGGTAAATAAATGTCAATATTTGTTGTTCTTAAAGAGATTATGCATTACAGCACGTGTTCATAATTTCTAGTGTCTTTGCTTATGTCATTGTCAAGTTTTGGTGTAGACTGCGAAACAATTTTCAATGTCACGGAGAAGATTACCACAAATTAAAACACGAACGTGAAAAAAGTCGAAAAGTGTAGCATTTCGGGTATGATACTGACGGCGTTTGGATTTCTGATCTTAATTACCAGAAATTTTTACGATTTTGTTTCCCGGTATTCCCGTTAGTTTTAGAATTAATTGAAAAGATATATTAAACACTCAAGACAGTGTTTGACCACATTTCCAAACACCTCGAAGTTCGTCAAAAATACTCCGCTACGTGTCGTATTTTCAACTCTCTTCTCGGTGGTTGGAGATGTGATCAAACACGGTCTTTCGTGTTTTATATATTAATTCAACAATCCGTATGAAACTAAACAAATGTTTTGACAGTGCTGAGATTGTTTTAATTTTTACTGATACTTACTATTTTTGGCTAATGTGTTTTGCTTAATGTTTCTCCCCAGCTGCAAGAAATTATGAACCGTTGTTTTGAGAAGGCAGAAAAACGACACGGAGCGTCATACATTCGAAGACTACTGGAAGAAGCTTGGTCCACTGAAGGAATGTGGGACACATACCTTTGAATCAAACTGACGTGAATAATCACTTGGATTACCTAATAATACAGTACCAGCATTGATGCTATCAAAATGTCCTTTTTTTCAAATAATTTTAATTTACAAAGCACAATTCTACAAGCATTACTTACAGTGCAGGTCTCATTACGCTACTCTACTTACAGAACATTACTTACGTTACTTACAAAACGGGTTACTTATGCTAGCAATACAATACTGAATACGGCTTCTTACAGAAAATACAATTACTTGCAAAACGGGCTACTTACATTGCTAACAATATAATACTCTACTTACCTTACTTGCTGAACATACAGTTACTTACAATACGTTCTACTGCATATTGACTTTGAGGAGGGAGGAGTAATTCTCACTAAAACATTTAATTAAGACAAATTTTCAAAATTGTATTTAATGTGTAGCTTGCTGATAAAATCCTGAATGGAGATGGCCAGGCCATTTTTACTTGCTTGAATAAATGTAATGGCGCATAAATAAGGCAGTGTTGTTGAATTTCCGTATCATTGCTGTGTCGTGGGAACTTGCAGTAATACCGAACAAGGTCTCCTCTGTGGTAGGAAAAATTTGACACGCATTCACTTGGTTGAACCAGTTCAAGACCTTTTGGGTAAACAATTTGGTAAACATACATTCGATAAAAGAGTGCTCAATTGAATCTTTATCTCCGCAACATAGACATTCATCGTCCGCCTTAATACCAAATCTGAATAGTTCTTTCTTAGTTACTATCATTTTAATTTATGGATTGATTTAAATTGAAACTCTTTTAGTTTAGTTTCCTTACAAATGTTTTTCAGTGATTTGAAGATCTCAGTCCACACTTCCTTTTTTAAAGAGAGTTTTTCGCTCCAACATTTAGGTCCCGTTTGATCTTCGGTGTGAATCTTGACGTTGAAGTGGTACTATGACGAAAATCGCATCTCTCCTATCTAAGCCATTTTAAAACATAAACAAGTAGTCTGCATGAGAAGAAAAATGCCATTTACTATTTTCAAATGTCTCTTTTTGTTCCTGAGATATTCAAGTTTTTAAAATATCCAAATTAGCCAAATGATGACGTCATACACTCAACCAAATTTTGATCAAATATGATGAAGAAAGATATCTCAGCCAATTTGTCTCAGAAATGTTTGATTCTTTGCAGTAAGACTCTTCTAAATGTGCTCCACAATACGAGCTTTATTACCATGGCAACATACTGGTTTCCAGACCCCCCCAATACTAAAGGCTTTTCTGGCCACCTTTGGCGATCCATTTTGATATTTGCAAATGGTGTCTCACATGCACGATCCAGCAAACATATAAATATGCTAGCTCGAGGTCATGGTCTCGTTTAATGTTTTTCAAGCTGAAAATCACTAACATATTGAAATCAAGTGGGTGGGGATTGGAAAAGAGTGATTGTCCATGGGAATAGAAATTTTATAGCCTTAGGTGTGTTTCCTGTTGAACAATTAGCCTACCAATTTTCAATGAATTCTGCTGCAAATTGACCGAGATAGCTCTATCTTTATACTTGACATAATATTGGGTTGAGTGTATGACGTCATCAGTTGTCTCATTTGCATATTTTACACATTTTTCAAACTTAACTATCTCTGGAACTAATGCAGATATTTGAAAACGGTAAATGGCGTTTTTATTCTTTCATGGAATTCTTTGTGATACACCTAAAAAATCACGGGGTAAAAATTTGATCATAATACCACGTTGAGCAAATTCATAGTAGCTCAAAGTGGTGAGCAAGTCGCGGCCATCCCAACGAAATAATCAGCTGTGTTTTGCCGCTGAACCCGCGGTATTACAGTTGTGTTCAGAACTTGTACTGTTTATAATACAACAGGATCAAATAAAAACTTCCCATCAGAAGAGGAACAAACTACAACTTCCAATGGTATTGCGAGTTACAATTTTTAATTAACATCTGACAAAATATTTTGTCAGCAGCAAGATCAATTAGCGATTACGCTTCCTGCACGCAGCCGTGTTAGGATTGTCGTGTAAATTTAAATATATGGAGCACTCTTCACTTTTATCACCGACCAATAGAAAATGCTCTCAGTTCACGCTCTGCATCCTCCTTAATACACTTATCTTAACGTTGGGAATTTTGCAAATTTGGCCCGCAGTGATGACGGTAGGAAGTTCAGTTCTGTTCCTGGCTAGATGACGCGGACATTCGTTGTAAAACTGAAATTATTGTCATGTAAGAGTAAATACACGGTGTAATCTTAACATTAATCACTGACATATAGGAAATGCTCTATTAATTTAGATATGCATTTTCATTAATGTACCCATCTAAATTAAGGTTGTTTTTGTTTTACGTTTGTTTTTTTCTCTCTCTCTCTTTTATTTAGAACTTATTCAATTCTGACAGTAGTGTTCCTCACTTGAGGGTATTCGAAGTACAACAAGAATTATTATTTTTAGCTGGCTACTTACTAAGTTTTGAGCAATGAAGAAATATTGTTTTACAAAGATATCATCTTGGTTAAAATCATGGCGTTTAAAATGGCCAAACAAATGCGGTTTGCGGTGTTTACCACACTGAACTAAATTGATCTGCGAACATTTGTATAGTACAACATTTCCGGCGGGATACGAAATTTAAACACAAAAGGGGTCGCAGTGTACTTGCGGGTTTTTCCTTTTCTTTTTT